TCTTAATATGTTGGATCTAATCCATTTCACCATTTTATGCATTTCTTTAAAAGCTACTCACCATCAATCTGTCTGCAGACTGACGAGCAGCACCAAAAAAACCTCTACACGGCTGTTACATGTCCTTCTTCCCATTCCCACCCCTTCAGCTCCAAGTGGACAAAAGAATATAGGCTTACTTTACAGAATTGTAAAAAGCAACCACTTAGTACTACTTCTTCCATCATATAAACATGTGAACAATGGAATGTCTTTTTTATAATCGGACAAGATGCCATTTTCAACGGTTGACAAAGCGTAAGACCAGACTTAGATATATTATAAACTCTGGCCTTTGTTGTCTCTTTTTTTGGGCTTGGGGGTGGTGGACCTATGACAGCCCATTATGGCTGTAAAAAACCCCAAGATTTTTTATTATTATTTTTGTGTTTAGGGTCAGGATTAGAATTAGGATTGGTCAGGGTTAGCATTAGGTCTAGGTTTAGAGTTAGACTTAATGCACCAAGTTCAAATCTAATCTCATCGATGCTTCCAAGGTTACCTATCTCACAGAGTCTTTGTAAAGACAAGTTGGAGAAGGAAACCCTGTATACGCCACACTGAGCTCTGGAGAAAGGTGGGGTATATAATTTAGCAAGCAGACAATGGAATGTAGATTTTGATTTTGAAAAATGAGGATGAAATGTTCTGAATACTTCAATAAGACTTTTAAAAAATGGATGGTTGCTGTCTTATCCTGTGTCATAATACCATTGCTAATCTTTGCCAAACTATGCAGATAGCATCACTCCAAAATAACAAATTTTCCAGTATATTTAAAGTACGGTCATTAATAGGAGTATTTTGTGCATTTGTAATTTTCTTAATGTGACCTAACCTCTACATGATGAATAACCTAATCTAGTGAAGACAAACTTGTCAAGCAGACACATTTTAGACTGTACTTATTGTGGGGAATATTAAGTGATAGCATTAATACACTAATGGACAAAGTCATTCCACCCTAGTATGACATTTTTTGTCATCCTGGAAGCAAGAGGTTACCCCTTTGCTATCACAGTAGTGAGTTGGCACCAGCTGTAGTTCTATCCCTATTTAATATTGCAAGACTTATTTAGAAGAACTTTGGATGGCAAAGTAATACTGTCTCTTGCTGATATGAAAAACTTTCAATTTATTTGAAAATTGCAAATACAACTTTTGGATGATTGTGGGCAATCGTTGGCAAATAAAGCCCCTAATATTTATGTCAAAACCAAGTTTTAAAAGCATCTAAATTACTGGAAGATAATTGCAGTTTTCAAAATAACACTATATTCAGTTAAAACAGCTCTTGATCCATTAAGTAGCATCTAAAAGTGCCAAATATATTCTGGATTATTCTAAATCTATTGTTCTCTTTTGTTCCATTTTGTTTGCAAACAGTAAAGGAGCATTACTAAGATGAATGTTATATAATAGTTATATGAATGCATCATGAAATAAAGAGGTGGGATATCTTACATTAAGAAATATTAACTATAGGAAGGAAGGAAGGAAGGAAGGAAGGAAGGAAGAGGGAGGGAGAGAGGGAGGGAGGAAGGAAGGAAGGAAGGAAGGAAGGAAGGAAGATTTATAGCTATAGGTATGAACTTAAAGTCAGTCTCCTGTACTTTGACAAGTGATTTTGTCTATATTTACTGTATACCCCAAGGAATATTTTAAAATGCTTGACTGTCAATCTAAAAAGACAATATTTTTATATTATAGCCTTTTCCTATTATTGCCATGCTATTGCTATGTGTATTTCAAAGGTCAATAGGTTCAAAGATGTTCATTTGAATTATATATTTCAAACTGGGAACTCATCTCTATATGGAGGGACTACAAGAAATCCTTTTTCAGAGTTGGAAATCCAGATGTACAGTATTGGATTGTTGATGCTATATGTGTCCATTTCTCTCTCTATTGATGTAAGGGGAAAACTGTAAAATTATTCCATGGCTAGGGTAGGGTTTAATTATGTCTTAAAATTAGGCTAAATGGATCCCTGTATGTAACAAAATATTTTTATTGTTTCTTGGGCCCTCCTTTTCTTTGTGTCTTCCCTTCCCTTCCCTTCCCTGTTCCCTTCCCTTTGTACTAAAACAATAAGAAAACTGTATTATTAAATTCTTCATTACTAATCAGTTCTTTTAAATAATCAACCTCAACTGCAGGTTGAATTTCCTGTTATTGTTTATATGATGTGTTTCCCAAGAAAATTGTACAACTGATGTACCATACATATCTTGGCCAAATATAGGAATCCAGTTTTGTATTTCTTCTTTCCAGAACATTGTAGATCACTAAAAAGTTGCTAACAATTATGCAATAATAATTGCAAACACCATGGAATGCCTCTTGACTTCAATTTATGCATACAAACTCCTCTACCAATTTCATTAAATAAAATGACTAGATTTTAATTTATTAATTGGATTTATTAATTTAAATAATTTAAATATTAATGCTGATATGAATAAAATGTGGCTGTTTATGCACTCAATCATAGTCCTTTAATAGCACATGGATCAGGAGCCTGATTATAAAGTACTTGGATTTCTTGTATAAGGCTGAGCTGGGCAATATAAAATGAAATAAAGAATAATATAAATACCATTCTCATTGTAAGTTTCATCCAATAATCTGTTAAAAAAATACAATTCACCCAACTAAGATAGTAACAAAATAAACTTTAGGCAAGGAGGACATTTACAATTTTACAGGCAGTGCTGTTATTACATTCATCAGTTGCGGTAAATTGTAAGGGCATAAAAATTGCACTAATACACTTGATAATTATTTTTACTGCAAAATAATGAGAGAGACTGGGGCTAAAGCAGCATTTGCTGCTATGAACAGTATTCTCTTAAAGCAAACTCAATTAATGAAATACACCAGTTTATATGTATTTCAATTTAGAAATGCATCCAAATAATGAGAGATGGTGGATTAACTAGGCAAAATGTTATGTTTTATGTTATATTTGGCTATATTATTTTGATTCCTAAACCCAAATCTTTCAGAGTCTGTTCCAGTCCAGAATTCCTGGAAATATATTGCTCAGATGTTCAATTACCTTTGGTTCAGCACATTTAATAAATGCTGCTTTGCTGTTGCCCTTTCTCTCTCAGTCTCTCTCTCTCTCTCTCTCCTCCTCATAGGCTCTTTCTCAATCTGAGGAAGAGAAGGAGTAACGTCTTACTAGATTTCTGCATGCCACTGGCTGAGAAACTTTGTTCAAAGCCTCTGTTGGTTTACAAACTGGTTTACAAACTCAAAAAGCATGTAGACGGAAATCGGTGTGGAGACACATTCAATTCTTTTTGCATGTGGCATCTTCTAAGGCCACGGATGGTACCCAACCTTTCCAGCTCTGTGGACAGCAGCTATGATGGGGTGGGCAGAGATGGTTCCATGCAAATGATGGGCAAGCATACACTTTGTGTTTGTACACACACAAAGCTCCATTTGCACAAATTGAGTTTCGTGCACTCATCTGCTCATCCACCACTTGCGTGGCCTGGTTTCCAATGAGCCTTGGTGTGTTACTGCGTCACGGCCCAGGGGTTGGTGACCTCTGTTCTAAAGACATATATTCCCAGAAATGTACATATTTCCTGACACTAAGCTAAAGTAGATGTAATAAAATAAATACCCAAGGATACCATCAGTGTAGTAAACTCTACTGCTCCCTGAGTGATTACTTCATAGCTGATGTTAGCTGGATTTAAGCTTGACAGGTAAATCTAATGTAGATTTCTCAGAAATAAATGCTAGAGGTTTAGCAGATCTTTACTCCAAGCTAAATGTGCAGGAGATTTCAGTCTATGTTTTTACCAACATAAGCCAAAGCTAGGCTTGTTAGGAATTCCAGTGACACATATTGCCTTAACTAACTTTTGTCAAGGAATTTGATGTATAAGACTTGTTTGTATGAACAATCGTAGATTGGAATTCAGATGTGGCAACTTAGTAATGTGCTCATGGGAATATGTTTCACTGGCGTTATGTAAATAGAAGTAAAATAATACAGATTGTGAAAATTGTGGTGCATGGTAAATCCAGTTTACGTGGTAGTTGTAAACAACAATTTACTGTACACTGATTGCCCTTCATTTTTGGAATTAAATCTGGCAATAATACCTTTCTAAAATGCTTTGAAATATAATTGAGTCCTCCTTCTTTCTTGTGACCCCCACAGTTCAAGGGGCAAGTTGGAAAAAACTAATCAGAACCATACATAGATAATTCTTGGATGGAACATGAAAGGAAAACTCAGCATAGAGTGGATATTTCCCATTAGACTCCCAACTGTTACTATCTACTTCAGTTGTGGGTTATAAAAAAGAACTTAGTGGTGTGTGTGTGTGTGTGTCTGTGTGTCTGTGTGTGTCTGTGTGTGTCTCTGTGTGTGTATTAAATCCTGGAAGAAGTCAATAGCAAATTATTTGCATATTATTGTCAAGAAAATCATGAACGTGGGCCTGTAAATACGAGAAATTGAGCTTGACCAGTGGAAGTCTTTACTTTTAATTATAGTAGCCTAAGAAGTATTTGCAGGGACGTCTGCAACATCTTTCCTGGAATATTTCCTTCCCACATTATTTCAACGAGAGAGAAAAGACAAGCACTATAACTGCTGTTTATATTGCTATGATTCCTGCTGTGCCGTCCCGTATGATTCCTCCAGGCAAAATTTATCTCTTAAGGCTTGCTGTGAAACTGTTCAGAGTAGATCTTGCAAATTTTGTAAGCAGTCCTCTTGAAGTGTGGCTTTTGTGTTTGGACGGGGATCACCTACTGTTGTATTAAGCATTTAATTTTCAATGAAAGAATAACAGGAATTAGGACCTTTAGTCATAGATGAAATGAAGCCGCCACCAACTCAAGCTCGATTCCCTTTTTCTGGAAGTGCAGAAGCTAAACTTTATCTTTCTTGGTCTTTATCTTTATCTTTTCTGCTCTCTGCTCTGCAGGCAGCTGAGTTCACTAGTTCACGGGAAAGGCTTTGACCTGAAACCCTGATGATCTGTCATCAGAATGGTTGATAAAGATATGAATGAGCTACAGTGGTAAGACAATACTAAAGGGCATTTTTTTTTCTACATTCTCTTGAGATTGCGATGATGTTTAGAACAGGGGTGTCAAACTCAAGACCCGCAGGCTGGATCCAGCCCATGGGGTGCTTAGATCTGGCCCACGGGGCTGCCTTAGAAACAGCAAAGGACTGGCCCGCAGCAAATGCCAGCAAGAATGGAGCTTGGGAGGGCCGTGTGTGGGCAGGGCGCTTGGGCCACCACAGGTGTCCCCAACATGAGTGATGTTGAGCTGGCCACACCCACCCTGGCTATGCCCATCTGGCCCCCCAAGGTCAAACACAACCCTGATGTGGCCCTCAATGAAATCGAGTTTGACACTCCTGCTTTAGAAGGATTTATGTGAACCCAAGACCATCTATCAATCACCATCTACCATCTATCAATCACCTCTTTGAACATTCCCCATTTTCATAGCAAAACTACATAAGCAATCACCTCAGAGTGGGAAAGTGTACGGCTGCAATTGTCAACTAAAAAGATATTCCTTTGGTCTTTTTAGCTACCAGAAAAAGGGAGTGGGGGAAAACAAGGCATTCCTTAAATGCCTAGATAATCACCCCGGTAATCCAAAGTTGTCATAAGAAGGTTATTGGAGAGCTTGATGGATGACTTGGAGATGGATGTGTCCCATTGGAGAAGTCACATCCAGGGGGTGGGGAGAAGACCAGGGTCAAAGTGGAAATGTATGATGTAATTTAGTATCGGCTTCACCCAGCCACGTGCCAACATGGCAACCTCTAATAAATCAATTTTCTTTTCTCTGAGGTGTGGCTAGAGACTTTTGATTTAAATGAGGGTGGATTTGTTGGAGCCCTGACAGCAATTTGCAGGTAGAGGTAGTCCTTGACTTACAACAGTTTATTTAATGTCCATTCAAAGTTACAACAGCACTGAAAAAAAAGAGACTTATGACTGTTTTCACACTTATGACCATTGCAGCATCCCTGTGGTCACATGACCAGCATTCAGCTGCTTGGCAAGTAGTTCATATCTATGATGATTGCAGTGTCCTAGAGTCATGAGATTAGCTTTTGCGACTGTCTGACAAGTAAAGTTAATGGGAAAGCCAGATCTGCTTAACAACAACCATGTTACTAACAACCACAGTGATTCACTTAACAATTGTGGCAAGAAAAGTCATAAAATGGGGCAAACTCATTTAACAAATGTTTTACTTAGCAGCATAAATTTTGGGCTCAGTTATGGTCATAACTCAAGGACTACCTGTATATATCCCAAAGGTGCTTTTTCAAGAGATAACTGGACTTCCTTGTTTTTCTCTTTTGACGACGTTTCACTACTCATCCAAGAAGCTTCATCAGCTCTGACAGAAACTTCTTGGATCAGAAACAAAACATCTTCAAAAGAAAAAAATAAGAAAGTCCAGTTGCTTCCTGAAAAAAGCACCTTTGGTACAACCATGACCTGGATGACTGACTATAGACTACCTGTATAACTCCTCTTCCTCTTACCAACTTGCTTAAAACATCCAGATTTTACCAATTTCTTCAGATGTTATAGTGAACAATAATTTTATATTTACCCTTGGTGTGGACTGTGGAACATGTAAATAGGCTGGGTAGGAAATGATCCCACAGCAATCAGCCTTCAAATTGACCCTTTGAGCCTTGTGGAAAGCCTTGAAGACTTGGCTTTTCCCAAAAGTGTTAGGATAGAGTGAGGCTGATGCACAATAAAGTTGTTTTTGATGTCGGACTGCATTTTCTGGAGATGCTGGACCGTTTTATGATAGTTTAATTTTTGTTTTGTTTTATGCATAAAATGGGTGGTTACATATGTTAAATGGAATGGAATGGAATGGAATACTTCCACATTTGAGGATCAGCTAAGAACAGTAAAGGAATGAGCAATCAAGAAATATGCTATGGTTGTGTATACCACAATAAAATGCTGTGATATGTCTGTGCCCAGGGGTAGGATTCAAATTTTTTAACAACCGGTTCTGTGGGCCTGGCTTAGTTGGTGGGCATGGCTTGGTCATGTGACTGGGTGGACGTGGCTTGGTAGTCATGTTATTGGGTGGGTGTGGCCAACTCAACATCACTCACATCGAGGCACGCATGTCCTCGCCTGGCCTCTCATGACTGTGGGGATGCTTCTACAGTCGTAAGTGTGAAAAATGGTCATAAGTCACTTTTTTCAGTGCCATTGTAACTTTGAATGGTCACTCCACACAAGCAAAGTACCAGCAAAGGAGGAGAAAAAACTCCAGAGAAGTTCCTGAGACAGGAAATCTAGTCCTGCCAAGAAAGTAATAAGTGTTAAGAGAGGCAGTTTCTGTAAGCAACTCCAGAATGTTTCCTTCCTGCCTTCCTTACAGGATTAGGCCAGTAATTTCTTCTAACAACCGGTTCTCCGAACTGCTTAGAATGTTAACAACCAGTTCTAGAGAATAGGTGCAAACTGGTAGAATCCCACCCTGTGCCTACAAAAATCAAAGTGATGCAAGGCAATGGTTTTCCCTAGACACTCTATAAAAGTGGAAGTTGTACTTTGAAGAAATAGGGTAGAAATAATGTTTTATGCTTTTGAAATTTTGGTGTTGGTGATACTCTTGAGGATACCCAAGAAAACCAAATAATAGACCATAGTACTGTATAAATGAATCCAGAGTCCACATTCAAAATACAAATGATCAGGTTCAGCCTATTTTGGACACATTACACAAAGACTCTCTTGAGAAATGTACAATAAGGGGAAAGGTGTACAGGAAGAAAAAGACAATCAGCAAAAAGTGCTTGGAGTTGATGATGATGGCAATTGGTACCTTGAAAGGCCTGTTTGAGGACAGATCATGCTGGAGAAGGAATATACATACATACATACATACATACATACATACATACATACATACATACATACATA